GGAAGAAGCTGTTCGAGAACTTGCTTCTCACTGATGGAATATGGGGAGAATGTGGCTGATTTGCTACAATGTAAGTGGCATGTGGGTCCGAGCTGTGAAGGTTAGACCTGGCGAAACCGAGGAATGTATTTTATCCGAGCGCTTTCTATGGAAATAACGACAGAGCAGTGAGAGGCTCGCCAATGAGAGAGAGAGGTTTGAAAGTAGAAAATAATTCTTCTCCAACAAGGACTCGGAGACGGTTTTGAAGTCAAGACTAGAAAGTGAGGACTGGACTGCTCCCGCACAAATATGGCACTATTGGAAGCATAGTGTCGCAAATTCTATTTTCATACACCTTTGGCCAAATGTTTGGGGTCGCCCACTGAATTTCGATGTTTCACCAAGAAATTGATGGCTGCGTGATTTTTTTTTCAAAACTATTTTACTAGCTCACTTCGGGCCAGTGGTACTTTCTCTTCCTGAAGGGTTTTATCAGATTTTTTTACAATTATACAATGGTAAATGGGACGGGGTGTGCTTGTGAAGGTTGTGTTACACAAATAAAGAGCATGGCTGAAAAAAGCATGATTTGAAGATTTTTCTTTTTTCATCTGGGCTGAACTATTGGCATTTTTGGGAAATATCTACCCATAAGTGTCAGTCAGAAAAAGAACTACTTCAAGATCGCTCATTCTAGAGTTTCATTTTCTAAACATTTTTGAGGATTAAAAACCAAAGAGACGTTCTTCAAAGATATTTAAATACAATTACTTCCAGGAGCATCGACGCCAAAAAGACACCCTCCAAAGACTTTCGAGCACAGTCGCGTCCGGCGGCATTAACTCTTTTCACGGCATTAACTCGGTTTCTTCTTGGGGCATTAGTACAAAAGAGACACTCTTCAAAGAACTTTAATTAATCTTCTTCAGTCATGAACGCCAAATACACACACACACGCACACACATGAACACACACACGTATATATATATATATATATATATATATATATATTAGGGTGTGATAGGTAATTTGCCGCCATTTTATATTTTTAATTTCGTGCATGCCCTTTGTTTTTGGTTTTGTCGACTGCACAGTATAGTAAGATCAGCTAGATACCGTCGGTGAGAAAAAGAGCACCATGACTCAATTCGGAAACGCCAAAGATGAACTGAAAATAAGGATCATGGCAACATTCATCAACTTAAAGAGACCCTCGAGAAGAGCTACAGGTAATTCCGAAGTCGCCTGGAGACCGTGGTTGAAGCCAATGGTGATTTTAGTAAATAAATTTAGTCTTTAGTATTTCCAGGTATTTTTGTGTAATTTTGGTAAATATATGTGTTAAAATGAGATATCTATGTTATTTTAAACATTTGCGTAATTTTACCCAAAAAATTTATGATCAAGCACACACACTATGTGTGTGTATGTGTGCGTGTTTGTGTGTGTATGTGTGTGTCAATGAAGCAAGAAGATTCTAAAAAAAAATTCAAAAAAGGGTCTGTAATGTAATCATTCACTTCATTCACTTTCTCACCACAGTGACGCAGTTTCCCTCTGTCTGTTCTATAAATGTTTTCATGGTAACTGTTCTGATGAACCCTTTTCCCCGGTGTCACGATTACATGAATTTAAGCTTGTTACTAGATTGGCAACCAAGTCTCACCGTTTCACTGTTGAACTAGATAGATAAAAAACATATGTTCTATTCTAATAGTTCATTTCCTAGGATTTCTCACCGTCCGATTTCGTCCTTCCTTGTCATCTACAACTTTCAAAAAATTTAAAAGCAATATCAATCGCCTTCTGTTTTCTTGAATCCTGTTGCTTTATTGTTTTTCCCCCCTCACTCAATCCAACTAAAGTCTCATTCATTTCCACTCCCAGTAAGTATATATATATATATATATATATATATATATATATATATATATGATATAATGATTAATATATATATATATGATATAATTAAATATATATATATATATATATATATATATAAAGACATTTTATGTTTATACATTCTTTTTTATAGATACAAATATTTAAGTAAATGCTCTGTTTATAATAAATCAGTATTAAACAACATTTACCGGCCTGAATGTCCGAGAAACTTTCACAGAAAAATAATTGTCCATTTAAAATATATATATATATATAATATATATATATATATATATATATGTATGGATATTATATATATGATATATATATATATATATATATATATATATATATATATATATATATATATATATATATATATAATATATATATATATATATATATATAATTTTTGAATATATATATCCATTTCATAATATATATATATATATATATATATATATATATATATATATATATATATATATATATAAATTTATGACTTAAAACTGATGTTATCAGCATCCTTTAGGCTCCAGAGTTTCGTAGGCATGACATAAATTAAAATGTCGACATAAGAACAAATTCAAATTTCCATAATATATGTTTAACTTAATTAGCTACTATATTTCC